CACACACACACACACACACACACACACACTCCAGTGACCACCCATCTGACCCCCGTGTCACCGACACTTGCTTGAATGTGAGGCATCCAGATGAAATTTTAAAAATAATTAAGAATAAATTACGCTTTTAATACTTTTATCCATCCCAGAAGGGCAATTTGGTTTACAATAGCAAAAAAACACAATACACACACTCACAAACACATACATACATACATACACTCACAAACACACACAAACACACACACACACACACACACACACACACACACACACATACATACATACATAATCATGAATACATACATACACACATAAATACATGCACCGCTGCGAGGCGAAAAGATTGACACATCCAGGGATCGCCCGGGAATTTCCTTACGCGCTCCACCCTAACTCGCCCGGAACCGCCCACGCCAACCTAGAGTCTTTAGAAACGAAGTCTCGCCTTAACGAGACTCTGGGGCCCAGATTTTGATTTGCATAGTTATTGCAAAAAGTTTCTTCTTTCGTTTGATACCAAAACAAAATTTTTCGGGCCAGTACTTTTAGTATTAGAGCCGATCGAAGTGCGATCGCGTAGCCGACACTTCGAGGGTGTCTCAACTTATTGAAAAGCGACACATTGAGTTTGAAAAAGGAAATAACGATGGATTTGAGCAAAAACAAGCATTTGACAAATCAGATGAATCAGATTTTGATGAAAAGGTTGTAGCAACAGTTTGGAGCGATTCAGATTGATCAGACGTAGAAAATCTAGAATTTAGACCTAGGGCCCGACCGCGAGGCTGAAAATGAGAGTGACGGGTCGGACACCCCGATTGAACTAAAGTTAGAACATTTCCAAGTTTACGCATACAAAAAGTTATATTTTTCTGAAACTACATTCATTTTTCTTTTTAACTTTTAATTTTTCAGGATTTCAGGAATTTGTTTAGAATTTTTTTAATGTGTTTTTTAAACACTTGTATTAACGGCAGATGGGTTCCTTCCCCTTGCTTAGGAACTAGGAATGGACTTCCCGTCTAGACCCATAGGGTTTAAAGTGTTATACACCAATCATGCCCTTGTGCTGCGACACCACAAGGTTATACACCAATCATGTCCTTGTGCTGCGACACCACAGGGTTACACACCAATCATGTCCTAGTGCTGCGACACCACAAGGTTACACACCAATCATGTCCTAGTGTTGCGACACCACAAGGTTATACACCAATCACGCCTTTGTGTTGCAACACGACAAGATAGCACTTACGTCACTGGCCCTCATAATGGCCACGATCCCCGTGGGCCAGAAGCAGCAGAGCGTGACAAATATAGCGGCGCACATATGGTCCTGAGGGGGCGGGCCGCGCGAGGTTGCATAGGCCATGGGCTGCTGAATCTGGGGGAGGAAAACAGGAACAAAAAATTCCCTTTAGTAATATTCAACGCTAGATTCTACAAGAAAAAAACATGTTTTAGTAATATTCAACGCTAGATTCTACATGAAAAAAAACATGTTTTAGTAATATTCAACGCTAGATTCAACATGAAAAAAACATGTTTTAGTAATATTGAACGATATACGAAAAAATGTTGCTTTAGCAATATTCAACACTATTAGAAAAAATGTTGTATTATGCCATGTATGAAAAAATGTTGCTTTAGTAATATTTAATCCCACATATGATAAAATGTAGCTTTTTGTTTGTTTGTTTTAGTAGAGGTTTTACAGCGCTCGCAACTGCATACGGTCATATGAGCGCCAAGGGGTGGATGTCAACAGAGAAGTCCTTACTCTGCTCACCTCTCTAGCCTCAACAGCACAAAGTCTGCTTCGACTATCGAGGCACCCCGGAAATAGCGGGTCACAAGAGTGTGACAAACATACAAAAGAAGAAGAGGAAAAATGACGATAGTAAGGATTAGGAAAGAAAAAGCAGCAGTCCCCTGTTGCAGTTCAGGCACAGTTATGAGCATGACATTGATGAATCAGCCCATTTACAATTCTACTGTGCATAAGAACAAGTTAATATCCCCCCCACCCCCTTTTGGGAATGGCCTAAAGACAACTTCAGTCAGTAGCACCATCTCGGGCAGGGTGGCAAGACATAAGACAAAAACAACACAGTGTGTTACGTTCTTGGCTATGCTTAAAGCTTGATGAATAATTATAAAACATGCTCACAAACAAACACAAGACCTCTGTGAGAATGAGTAGTAACGGAAGTTATCCTTTATTATCAAGAAGGTCACGTTACGGCCTTGAGGCGTTATAACATAGTTGACCAATTAAGTCCAAGTTATTGATGTACACACATGACACAGGGAATGAAGAGAAGTAGGACCTCCCACTAATCCTGGGTGTGAGGGTTTTTTTTTTATAGTAGAGGGTTTTACGGCACTCGCAACTGCATAAGAGCGCCAAGGGATGGGTGTCAACAGAGAAGTCTTTACAGGGAATCAGACCCACTCTGCCCACCTCTCTAGCTTCAACAGCACAAGGTCTGCTTCAACTATCAAGGCACCCCGGAAATAGCAGGTCACAGGAGAGTGACAAACATACAAAAAAAGTAGAGGAAAATGACAATAGTAAGGATTAGGAAAGAAAGAGCAGTAGTTCCCTGTTGCAGATCAGGCACAGTTTTGAGCGTGACATGAATCAGCCCATTTTCTACTGCACTTGAACGAGAAATGTCCCCCCTTTGGGAATGGCCTAAAGACACTACAGTCAGCAGCACTGCTCCGGGGGGTTGTGTGTAAGTTTGGGTAAAGAGAAGTACATCGACCCAATGACAGTCATGATCTATGATTATAGCGCAGGGAAAAAGCACTACAGATGGACAGAGACAACAGAGGGAAAGAATAGAAATAAAGACCTACCTCGAGACTGCCGTGCCAAGGCAGACCGACGTATCTGCAAAAATTATCAATTTTTTACATCTTCCTTTAAATGGACGCCTAGCTCTATACCCATTTTTCATCCTGTGTCAAAGGCAGGAAGACGTATCTGCATTACAAATAGGATATTTCACCATGGCAAACAGACGTAACTGAAGGGCCATGTCCATATTTCTAATGGCGGCATGACGTATCTCAAAATCCTAAAAAGTGCTGAGTGATACGTCGCTCTGCCTAGGCACGGCAGTAGAGCCCTCCAACCAACCACTTAAGGAGGGGAGCTAAAAACTAAGCCTATCTCAGCTAATGCCACTCCTGAGGAGCTTATATTTGGTGTGGACAAGTATATTGCAAAGGAGATTTGATACCAAAATTAATGATTCCGTTGACATGGAAACGGTGGCCATATTGGATTTTAGAGACATAATGTGGTATCATTTTCCCACCTTATTTACAAACAGATTTGGTTCATACTTAGCATGCACTGATAAGACAAAGATCACACTTTCTGTAAGAGGAATTATTTCATATCTGCTATAGTTTTTATTTTATGACACTTTCAATTCCGGCCATAGCGAAATAGTGGAAAACTGGAAAACCTAGCCTATTCAAGCTCACAGATTAAGAACCAATGCATTTATCAATAATTCCTCTTACAGAAAGCTATAAATTTGTATGGTTTTTAACATTCTGTGACTGTTTCATTGAAATCGAGTCAGAATTTAAATAGAGTAGAAATATAGTACCAACCCTGAAAAATAGCATGCTGTTAAAAAAAAAATTTTTTTTGCAAAATTGGCAAATATTTTCTCAAACAGACTTGACCCTCCGCTTGAACCCCCCCCCCCCACCCCACCCCCAAACACCATCTTAGGGTGCAGGGAGGCTTGTGTACCTTTCTAGATTGTTCAGGACATGTCGAGGATTTTTCATGTGTAAATATCCCAGGTTGTGTAATTTGGCCAAGAACAGGCAAGTCTGTGGCCGCACCGCCCCTTAACACTTTCCACCCGCGCAACGCGCAGAGCGCACAACACTTATCCCCGCGGACCAGAATACAGGTGCGGTACACGCTATATCACACCAACGCCGATCGGCATCCCGAGGGGAAAAGTTTCTTACCGCCGCCAATCGGCGTCCAGTGGGAAAAAGGGACGGCTTCTTACCGACGCCGACCGGCGTCCTGTGGGGGCAAAGTGTTAAGATCTTTCCAAAGTGACGGAGAACTCACCACCACATTTCCATACTGCGTCTGGTACTGAGGCTGGTAGCCAGGAGGGAGCGGAGCGCCGCCCTGAGCGGGATACTGACCGCCTTGAGCGGGATACTGACCGCCCTGAGCGGGGTACTGCCCGGCCGGTGGGGGGTACTGACCCGGCGGGTACTGACCGGCCTGAGGGGGGTAGTTGTACTGTGCGGCGTAGCCTTGCTGGTTGTAGTTAGCGGGGTAGCCGGCCTGCCCAGCGGAGCCATCGGTCTTGGGCGCGTCAGTGTAGGGAGGGGGCATTTCTGAAAGGTCGGGGGAGGGAG